TTTGCAGCTAACCAGAGGTGCACATGCTACGGCTTGTGTAATCAAATATTATTTTTTTAGAAGTGGGGGGAAAAAAGATTGGTGTAGTCAAGATATATCTTTTGTATATATTAATAGATAATTAAATTCTAATCACATGTGTTCTAACAATTATTATATGAGCTATTTAATGACAAGAATTATAAAACCATTTTATATTTTCTCTTTTTTACTCCTGTTCTACTAGTCTTTTTATAACCAAAAGATATCAGAATATATTCTTCTTCTGTGCCTTTCTTATGTAGTTCCCTTAAACAAACAAACAAAAAAAACCTCAATGCAACCAACTCCTCCCTGACCTCTTATCTAATTCTTCCTGTTAGAATTAAAATCTTGTACATTCTTCACTCCTCCATTAGGCTTTTGTTTTCATTCTCTTAGTTGTCCTAATTCACCTTTGGAGAACAGGTAGTATGTCCTTTATTCCTCCTCATTCCCAATAACAAACAAGTGAATATTGAGAAAATACAATTTTCTTTATATACTTGAAAAAACACAAGGTGCAACAAAATTTATTGAGTATCTATTATAGAAAAGGTATTATACAGAATAATAATAAATGCAATCTGTCTCATGGGACCGGGGAGAGGAGCTATTGAATGTACATACAGTGAATTGCAGCACACACAGGACCACTGGATGGCTGGGCAAACGTGACTCTGCAGGCTCCCACTCATTCAGTCAGAGGATGTCCCGACAACCCTCACACCCCACCCCACCCTTTCTCAATAACCAGAGCTGCTGGCAGCTGGGATGTTTTCCTAAAAGGATAAAAGTAATCGGACAATACAATACAAGGGAACTGCTTTCTGAATAGAAAGTGAGCAAATCTGAATTCTAGCCTCATTTCTATTATGAATTGAATCAGACAAGTTTCTTCAGGTTTCTGGGACTTGTTTCTATAAAATGGCTGAACAGGATAGACCTTGATTGCTCTTTTTAGCCCTTTCAATCTCAGTATATAGGACCCTTTGGCATAGGTTGCTAAGCAATTTCAAAAGAATGTGCTTCAACTTAGATCAGCTACCGAGTCGACTGTTTCTGTGCCTGGTACTCTGACCCGACTTCTCTGTTCTGATGGACGAACTTCTTGTGTTCCTGAGATTAACTCCTCCAGCAATGCACTTGACTCCAGCCTTTCTTCCCTCTGTTTCTTACACTGTCTTTCATTTCATCATATAACACACATTTTAATTTTTCTCATATTAAGACTAAAACCACTCATCTTCCTTCTCTTGAGCTCATTTCACTCCATTTCACTCCATTTCTCTCTTCCTTAAAATCAAATTGCCCCAAAGAGTTGTTGACCCTCAATCTTTCTAATTCCTCTCCCCACCCTTTCTTGAAGATACCATTCTCTAGCCTTAACCTCCCTAAAACTCTTCTGGAACTGCTCTTGTCAAGATGAACAATGAACCACATGTTGCTCTAACCCATGTTCAATTCTCAGTCTTCATCTAGCTTAATTAATCAGCACATCTGATGGACTTTATCACGCCCTCCTTTCTGAGACAATTTCTATATTATCTTCAGTTTAGGTAAAGAAACTCTATAGTTCTCTCATTTCAGTCCAATTGTGTCTTGCTATTTCTTTGCATCCCTAAAATGTACTTACAGAGTAATGGATAAGTGTTCACTGATATTTACTCATTGTTGTTGAGCATTTACCATTTGCTTGGCTATGTGGAATATGCACAAATGAACCAGTCATTAATTCTGCCATAAAGGAGATTAAGATCCAGTGGGATAAATGTGACAGTAAGGCGAATAAATATGATGCGAGATATAAAAGAGAAGATTTCAATGAAAAGTACAGATTTGGTTCTCCTGAAGTTCAGGAGAAAAAGAGATTACTTTCATGTATGGCAATCAGGCAAACTTTATGAAGAAGGTAGATTAAACTTGGGAAAAACTTGGATATGCAGGGTTAGGAGAGAAAGACATTCAAGAAATGGAAGAAAGGGGAAATAGTTTGGATAAATATGGAAAGGAAGAAAAGTAGAGGGCAGGTCCCAGAAACAGCAAGTTAGTAACCCAGTTTTGGCTAGAAGCAGAGTTTACAAAGAACACCAGGAAATGTGGGGGGCGGGGGGTGTGGAGGTGTGAATTAAGTTTTAACACTGTAAGGCTGAAAGACTAGCAGGACAATAAAGTGTAGTTGTCCAGCAGGAAGCTGAAAGTGCTCAGTTGGAACAAGTCAGTCTTAAAATGGAGATCCAGAAATCTGCAAAGTAGAGGTGGCCCGAAAAACCACGTCATTATAAAGGGAGAAAGTGCAGAGAGAAAAGATGAAGAGCAAAGGTGAAATTATTGAAGATTGTTTTTATATGTGGTTTTCTCAATATATCTTAGTATGAAAATTTCAGTACATTCAAGTTCAGTTAGTCAGCAAATAATTATTGGGCACCAATTATTCTGTTTTGGGGTTGCTGAAGTGAAACAAAGATGTAGTTCCTGCCATTACAGATCATTTGTTCTAATAAGAGATAATAAACACATAAAACAACCAAACACATAAGAAAATTTCAAGTACTGATAAAAAGATAAAATATGTACCTGTGATACGCAGAGAAAGAGAGCAGCTTTTTAACTATCTAATAAAATAACAACTACCATTTATGGAGAACAGTTTTGCCCGTATTATTTCATTGAAGCTTCAGTAAAAACTCAATTTTACAGAAAAAGAAGGTAGGCTTAGAGAATTTTAATTACTTCCCCAGGTTCACACAGCAACGCAAGGGGCAAAGCAGGGATTTGGACTCAGGTTCATCTGACCCAAAGTCTATACTCTTGACTATGGTAAAATTCTTTTCCTTCAATGTTTACTTTATCCCTGAAAAGGTTGTACTACCACTTCCACATTCTGTAAGGCATGTGCTTTAAGTTTGTTTTGCTTTCATGATGATGAGCTTGTTACCCACTGCATTCTCTTTAACCCTGCCCACTGTGACCAAGAATGTGTAGCTGAAAGCTTGATGTTCAAGGTTACTGTATCTGTTTTTTACTGCGATGTATCATACCAACCCAAAACTTGGTAAATTAGAATATCACCACTGCATTACTCCTCACAGTTATCTGGGCAGTTCTTCTGCTGGTCTTGCCTAGGATTATTCATGTGGCTACAGTCAGCTGATGATTGGGCTGGGACTGGTCAATCTGGGACCTCAGCTAAGATGGCTGGAAAAGGTGGGATAACTGGGCTTCTCTTTTCACGTGACCTTCCTTCCCAGGCTTCTGCACATAGTACAGAAGTGCTCCAAAAGCATAAGAGTTGAGTCTGTAAGTCCTTTTGAGGCTGGGGCTCAAAAATCATGCTACATAATCTCTTCTGTGACATTCTATTCTAGCAAGTTATAGAGCCAGCCCAGAGTCCAGGGATAATAAATTAGATTCTACCTCTCGATGGGATGAGCTAAAAAGGATTTGTGACCGTTTTTGATTCACTATAGATTACCCTGTGGCTATAAGTATTTACATTCCTCCCACATGTAAATAGTTGCCCCCTCCTAAGATCTTCAAAAGGCTCAACCCACTATAGTATCTAACTCAACATCCACAATCTCATAATCATAATAGGCTTCTCGGGTACATTTACCTTGATTCAAAGGCAAATTATCTGCCCCCACACTCCCAACATATAATGGTTTAACAAGGATAGGGCAATTGCAATAATCACTCTCAATCAAAAAGGGAAAGAATAGAAGGCACATAGCAATATCTGATCCGTAACAATTCTAAAATCCATCTAGGAACATGTTGTCAGGGTCCCCTTCTCTGGAGGTAGGAAATGTTTCTAGATTAGGGTCCAGTTTTACCCCTTAAGTGGTGATCCCTAATCCATTGTTCTGCAGCTCTTGCCCCCCCCCCCCCCCCCCCCCCCCCCCCCCCCCCCCCCCGGCTTCATCCTTTGAGAGGTTCTTACTTCATAATTTTTAAAAAATGTCCCATGTTTATAGCTGACTAGCTTTCTAATCCTACCTGTTGGCCATAGAAAGTGAGGTCTCAGAGGTATCTTTCATATTGAACAGTCTCTGGCTCTTCTAGCCCAAGCTGATCTAATGCCCTTAAAACTGTTTTGGGTTTTCTATAAATATGAGTAAGGCCCACTTCATGCCCCAAAGGCCATACATATAATTCTTTTTGAGACAGATTCCTCTTTATCGTGAGCCTAGCACTGGGAAAAAAAAATGCTTTAAGATTTTTAAAAAGCCCTTTTGTCTAGTTTGGAAGTTCTATCAGACATCATGTTAAATCTTTCATGGCTTCAACAAAGGCTTTTATAGTCACAGTCTTGTTGATGTTTACTGAAGGCAATTTCTTTCTTTGAGGATATTTTGCTGGCTGGAGAAACTGAGGATGAGAAACAGTTTTGTACTCTAAACCAGCCAGCCCAGGGTCTTCTATATATTTTCTAAACTTTGCTTAAAAACTGTGCTGTTCCTTGTTTAGTTTATTTCTGTCTTCCTATAACATTATACACAGTTAAAAGAGGTCAATATTTCAGTGTTCTACATAGAAACTTCCTTTGCCAGATACGCAAGCTTATTAGGTGTATTTCCTAGCATTCAAATTATTATAGGCAATAGTATAAAACATGAGTAGCCACCTTCCCAGTTTCTATTAACTGTTTATTCACCATTCCACCAGCCTGGGTCACAAAGCCAATGATAAATGATTTATATTTTTGTTACCCGTGATATCTCATTTCTAAGGAGTGCAACTGTAACAGACATTCTGTATTAGTTATTCATTTCTGCATATTGAACCACTCCAAAACATGATGGCTTAAAAATTATGATTTCTTATTATTCTGTGGGTTGACTGGGCAATGATTCTGGTGTTAAAATTAATCCAGGTGTAAACTGGGATTGGTGCACCTTATAGTGAGAAAAGAACCAGCTGTGATCTTAGCTGTGGTTGCATGGTATAAAACAGCTTCATGCATAAGTCTGAAAACTCACCCGGCATGCCTGGAACACGAATTGGCTGTGCCTCTCTTTCTGTGTAGACTTTCATCTCAGGCTTCTTCACATGATCAGAAAAGTAGTCCAAGAAGTAAGAGAGGAAACTGCAAGGCATCTTGAGGCCAGATCTTGGAATCATGTGTCATTTCCCTTGCATTTTATTGGTTAAAGTATTACACACAACCAGCCCAGAGTCAAGGGGTGAAAAATAGACTCCACCTCTTGATGAGAGGAGCTGTAAAGTGTTTGTGGCCATTTTTAGTTTGTCACAGTTAGAAACTCAGTGTAGCTCCATGGAATAAAGATGGCTAAGTGGGCTGTATAAAATTGAAGATTGTGGCACTAACTATTAGACCCAGAAGCTAATCATCTGAGTTATTGAATAAAGGTAGCTTTACTTTCTCTATAGGTATAAGCATATTGTAATTCAAGGCCATATATTGAAAGGAATTGTATGACCTTAATTATGTAAATATACTTAGAAATCCAAAGCAAAATTTGACATTACATTCTTTTGCATAATAATGACATGCCCTAAGTTAATTTAAATAATCAATATTGCTCTGGACTATTAAGTATGTGTTTTGATTACCCACAATGCTCTAGAATATCACTGATTAATAGTAATAACAGTGAAAATAATAACAGCCAATTTTCATTGAACATGTACCATGTACCACATAATTAAATCAGAATTTTGAAAGGCAACACAGAATTTTAACAGAATAGAAACTAGTCTTACAATTCAATCATCCAGAACACACAATTTAACTAGACGATAAATAAAAAAGTTTTTATATTGTCCACAAATTTTTAAGTTAAGAAACATAGTTCTAATATTCAAAGTTTGCTAATTCCATAGACTTCCAAAATTTCTCTAGGCATGTGTTGTCTCTAAGGACAAACTAAGAGCATGTTGGTATGAATAGCACTCACAATACTGTTTTTGTCTCCTTTCTTATTACTCTGAATTGAAGAAATGCATTATTTAGGAATTCAACATCATAGTCGAAGTGAGCAGCCGCAATTAAGGGAGTATCAATATTGAGTGGAACTTCAAATCGTTTATTAGCTGGATCATAAATCTAAAACAGATTAGAAGAGTAAAAATTGTATTAATTTTTAAAAAAATGATCTAGTTCTAATGTTACCAATAAGTGAAATGGGAAGTTTGCAGTTACCTCCAGAATGAGGTATTATGAGGTACTTAATCAAATGATGTTATGACATTTAGTCTTCCTTTATGCAACACTGTATTCATGAAAAATACAGACCGTCAGTTACACCTACCTTAAATCGGAACCGATTCTTAGTATGAAATTCTATATCCATTGCAATTGGGGAAATATCATTTCCAAACAGAGATATATTGTCACGTTTGCTTAATATTAACCTGTAAGATAAATCAATTTTATTACCCTGGATAAAACGTATTTATTTTTACAAAAGAGTGAAATTTTCCTTAGGTAAAAAAAATGTTGATATGATAAACAGGAACATAAGCAGTTTATTCTAACATGGAAAACAAAATTAAGGGAGAAAATGTCTTACTAAGAACAGAAACATTGAGGGGTAGGTGTTAAATATTAAAATGGTAACAAAAAAAATCAACTAATTTCCTTCCCAGTACATCTCTAATAGAAAAAGCTGCAACAATAAGAAAAAAATTTGTCATCTACTCTGACTTAATTGACTATGATGTAACCTTCTTTGTAGTAGAATGAAATAGTGAACCAGGGGTTTTCCTCTAACTATGTGCAGTCGGCAGCCAATGACTTCTAAACACTAGTCCTAGAAGTAATCAATGGGCAGTCATGGTGATCACTGAAGCTCCAGGCACAGCCCCTCTCCTTCCAGTTCTTCTTCCTCACCCTCTACAACCGTGTGTGACACTACCACACGCATCCCAGCCAGCTGCTAGGACCTCCAATTCAACACCACCGTCTCTCCCTCACTCCAGCCAAGCCTTTCAAAGTCATGTTCAGGGAGGGCAGCCCACTTCCTCAGGTAAATTCTTGGTTGGGTTCACCTTTTTTGGTCTAGTGAGGGAAAGCATCTCCTTCATTGTTTTGCCCTGGAACATTCTTTGAAAAGACCTGATTTACAAAGATTCCACTCAGATTTGGGTGCTATCTAAATTCAGTAAGCAAAATGACTTGAAGGTCAAATTGAGACATAATGAAATCTCCCAAGCACAGGGTCCAGTGCAGGGCTAAGTTTACATTACAAATAATCCACAGGCAGCCCAGATGCTGAAGACACTGACATTTGGAGTCTTGGTGAATTGCCCAGAGTCCTTCTGCTTCTCAGGCAATTCTGTTCCCTATAACTTCTATTCCTAATCAGAATTTAATTTGGTTACAATTAAATTTATCTGATTTTTGTTTATTTTATTCTGTTTTGTGGTTCACTGCTCTTACTCATCCTGAGCGCTTTTATTTTATTTTCAGATTTTAATCAGTATTCAAAACATTTCTGCTAAAATCTGTAAAATCTTAAACTAACAGTATGTTTTAAATAACAATAAAATAGGCCAGCCCGTGGCTCACTCGGGAGAGTGTGGTGCTGATAACACCAAGGCCACGGGTTCGGATCCTATATAGGGATGGCTGGTTTGCTCACTGGCTGAGCGTGGTGCTGACAACACCAAGCCAAGGGTTGAGATCCCCTTACCAGTCATCTTTTTAAAATAAATAAATAAATAAATAACAGAATAAAATAGTATATAATGTAAGTTTAGCTCAGTTGAGTTCTATTTTTGAGCCCATGAAATAGACTGGTTTCTTCAAAGCAGAGCACTTTCAAGGTCCAGAAGCAATAAAAACAAAATGGAATAATATTTTTTTTCTCTTCTTTCAATTTGGAATTCATTGTATTTCTGAGACTACGCTGTTCCACCCTATTAAAATCAGCCCCTCTCTGCCCAGATCTTACCCTTCTGTTTCCTGCTACTGTTATCTAGAGCCTTTTTTCTTTTGTCTTTGTCTTTAAAGAGCATGATCCTCGAAATCTTTACTCCTAAGCATCATCATTAAATTTTATATTACTGCCTGTTAAGAAATGTAGCTGGAAAACAGATTTTGACAGAGTTTTCAAGCCCTGATCATGCAATGTAAAGAAGAAATAGCTCATTCCAAACAGAAAAAGAGGGAAAGTCAGCTTTTTAACTCTGCTCAGCTCCAACTGAGTAAATGCCACAATTTACACATTCCACACATTTCCCAGAAAAATATCCAATACTTCAATATCAAGAAATGAATCTCCAAAAATCAACACATCAACATTTTTAAGTGATATTTGACCCATTAAATCTGGCTTTTCTCTTGAGAATCTTGATTAAAGGAAAATGACTATCCATTTTTCTGTCAGAAAAGTTAAGCGTATCGTTTGTATTTTTGTACTTATTAATTAAAGTAAGTACTCTGATCACTTTAAAGTATGATTTCAGGTGTTATCATGAAATAGTTGCTGTTAAGAGCAATTTTTTATTCTAAGATTTGGTGTCATTTCACTGAAAATTGAGTACTGTTTTATGCTTCACCGAAGACATGCAACAAAAATTTTAAAAAGCTGCTTTTTAAATTTTACGTGATAGCGTAAAAGAAAAGTTTTACCTTAGCCCAACTTGTTTGTAATGAATCATCCCTCTGTACAAAATAATGAATGTTTATTATTATTTATATTTATTATTCTAGCTGTTTGGCAGGGCCCACACAACTGATTGAGGAACAAGAAAGAAAATTATAGCCTCCTCTTCAATGCACAAATTGTAACAGTGATTTATAAGTAAAAATGCCTAGGAAGCAAGAAGCCGTGTATTTTAGGTTTTTTCATTCACTGTGAAGGCTCAGAGTTGTCAGTATATAGCAAATCAAAATAGATCATAATTTCTGAGTTGACATGTGTACCAAATAAACCCATGAGGCTGGCTCACAAATTTTATGTAGTAGAAGCGCTTGTTAAAAGTTCTAGGAAATATATACCTCCATCCTAGAGCTGTCTTTTCAGGTTGATTTTTTGTGGTGTAACCATATGGACCATCTGCTAGATAAAAGCACGAGGGAACGTAGGCAATGGCTGAAGGACACCAGAAACAGCCTTTAGCTTCACAGCTTTTTTGAGAGGCTCCTGGTTGAAGATTGCAATCCATGCGTTTCTGAAGGGGAAATTGCTTGGCACAAGCAGCCTCTTGTTTAGAATTATAGAAACAAAATGGAACGTCAGTATCGTCAGCAACACACCAGTGACATCCACGGTTCATACAATCAGCTTCATTTGCCCCTGGTTCCGGATAACAGTCAATTCGTTCAGAGGCAGCTAATATAGAACATGAATCAACTTTTGCAAAACACCAAGGGATGCCTGCGGCTCTAGATGGAGACCAGCAGCAATTCCTGGCCAGACATTTGGCTTCAGAAGCTCCAGGATCAGGGTGACAGTCCTTACGGAGGTGGGCAGCTAGAGATGCTGAGCACAAATTTGAAGTAACCGGCTGGACTAGAACTGAACCAAGAAGTAAAACAGAGCAGGGTAAATGAAAAGATATCTAGAAAACATATCTATAATCAATAGGTTATTGTAGAACTTTGAAAAAAAGTATCTCTCAAAATACTTAGATTGTGAGTAGAATAGTTGGTAGATACTAAACAGTACTATAAACCTGTCACCCCAGGTAAAACAAAGTAAAGCAAATACCTGTCCCTTAAAAATATACTACTGATTTTTTATTTACTCACTCCTAATATTCTCAGCATGCACACACTTTATTGTCCCTTGGTCTTAGATGTCTATTCATTCTCATCTTTTAATTGTTACCAAATAGATTTCATAAAAGTCAATACAATTATTTCTTTTCTGTTTGCTATACCTTCCTTATTCATTTATAGAATGGATACCACTTGTCAGACCTCCAATAATAATGCTACAGAAATGTCTGTGCATGCTTCTTTAAGCTAACAGATGCCAGACCTTCAAAAATAACATCATACTGGGGTATTTTTTCATCCCCTTTCTTCTGTGGCTTCCCATGTTTAAAAGATCTTAAGTTTGTACTGCCAATGCTGATGCTTTCCTCATCTTTGGTATTTGAGATAGTTTCATTGTACTAATGCAATCAATTTCATGGAATATTAATCCCTG